TTTTAATATATTATATTAATATTGTAAATGTATATATACATTTTGTTATTCGTCACAAGGCAGGACTTCTAAGTGAAAAGTACTAAAAAGCTAAAAAGTGATTAACATGGTGAAAAAAGTAAGTCATGCACAGTTCTGTTCTCCATGTTCCTAAAATCAGAATATCAAAATCTTTCAGCAGTGAACTCATAATCTTTGCAATCCTGCAAAAAAATCTTTGATTATTAACATGCTATTTCTTTTGCCCTGAAATTGTGGCTTTAAATGTGCAGTGGTCTGAAACTAACAATTCTTAAAATTGTCTAAATTATTCTGACCTTGTTTTAGGCAACTCTCTTGTCTTTCCAACAATTTAATCCTTAATCTGTACATAAGATAACAATAGGAAAATAATTTCCAAGCAGGATAAATGAAACAGTTGAGCGAGGTCAAGAAGTGTCCTTATTTTAGGATTAGTCCATCACAGTTTTGACACATGATTATCAATAGAAATATATGTTTATTAATACACAAAAAAGTCCATGCACCATTCCACCTGACTTTGTTATATTTTAAGATTAATTTCCATGCCACAATTAATTTCATTAACTGTCTGCCTCAGTCGATTAGTGTAAAGGACTGAGCTGTGGATGTACATTAATAATATTGGTACATTTTCTCTTATATCTATTGACAACACAACTGAATTCTTGTGCCGAATGAATTGAGTTCACCTCCATATAGAAGTTATACATTATGTATTTACAGTACACAGATTTTATACAGCCTGATGTAAATGGGGCGAGAATCAATCATACAGCAGTTGATGGGATTCAGAAAACGGGAACTTCTGAATCACAAAGCAGAAGAAATTCTTCAACAGCCCTGAAACCTTCCCAACTCCATATGAGTGCCAGTAACAAATACGAACAATTGCTCCTTTTTACCCCCAGAAAAACATCCCAGCTAACGGACCCTTTTTCAACAGGCCACTAAGAATCAAGAAGCTGTTTATGCTGTGATTAGTGTTGTGCAGGTATATTTCAGGGTCAACAGCATTCATGTTCTGCTCTCTAATAGGCTAAAGTGTTCCTAAAAGTGTGTATTATTTGTCCTCCTGAAACAACTTCTCTTGGGCACTACAGGCCTTCTCTGGAAGTGCTAAAGCTGCAGTCTTCTCAGTGCTCAAAAAGGGTTAAAAGCTCTGAGAGGCCCGAAGTTAATCACTGCAATTTCATTTCCAATTTTGGTGAGAGACTTGAGAGACCTTCCCCAGAGACGGAAGCTGTCTTTCCGGCGGAATTACAGAGAAAAGGTATGAGGCCTACAGAATGGCTTTAGCAGCTCATAGAGTATTCACCAGAGCACGACCACTGAAATTTGAGCCTGTGCTCAGCTGCATTGACTTTTGCCAGTGCTCCTCTTAAGAGCAAAATGTCTGATTTTCACAGAGAATGACACTGCTCAGGTGACACTTGAGTGTAAAAAAGAGCTATAGTGCTATAAAGGGCATCTTGTAAATGGTAGGCTACACATGTCACTTTTTTTTGTTCAAAATACAAAAAAAGGCCAATACATCATCAATCCTTCTTTAAAAACATGTTTTTTTCTTACACGGATTACGTGATGGTTTGCGCGGGAAATTGCGTACATGCGTCACGCGTCCGTGTGTCCAGTCATATCCGTTAGTCCGACTCCTTTGACGCGTGCAGAGGCATAGGTTATTGTCACAACGTCGATTGAGAATGGTGGACATGAAGAACGCTATCTCCAATCTCCAGAGGGTCACCTGGTTAAGAAAAAAACGCCGAAAGAACAGAGGAGAGTCTGCTGGCAAAAAGAGAACGCGGCAGAGTTTGTGCAACGAGAATTGGCAGTAGCCTGGCTTTTCGAGAAAGATTGATGACGAGGGACTTGAAATGTTGTAAAAGCGACAGAGTCTAGATGCCGTTTTTATTACTGAACAGGTGAGTAAGGTATTTTATTGAACAGATAAATTGTCATATGTAGGCAGCTCTCTAACAGGCGGGTCATTTCATTATAACTTTAGTTGTTGTAGCGCTGTGTGTGCTCGAATTTATTTTCAAAGAGGCCTACCGTGCCTATTAATGGATATAGCTACAGCAACATCGTCAGATAGTCAGCTTGAGATCCTTTCCATCCAAACTGGTTACATCTCTTAAGCCTGTGATTGAATGTTTTATGAGCAGTAGGATAATCTCTATCTTTTTTATGAGAAAGAACCATATTCATCCGCACAGTCAGGCAGAGCCTAAGCACAACCAGAACAATGTTCTTCCCCAAAATGCATGCAATTTAGTTTTTTAACTGCTAGATAATATATGGTGTACCTTTTAATTTGATTCAATAGACCTTATTCACAGCAGCGCCATCTTTTCAACGATGTATTCATTCCAGTCTTCAGTGTCACATGATCCTTCAGAAATCATTCTAATATGCTGATTTGCTGCTCAAGAAACATTTCTTAGTATTATCTCAGTTCAAAACAGTTGTGTTGCTTCATATCTTTTGGAAACCATGATCATTTCTTTTTCAGGATTCTTTGATCAATTGAAATTCCAAAAGACCAACATTTATTTGAAATAGAAATCTTTTGAAGTATTACGAATGCATGTTTTGACAGTTTTGATCAAGTTAAGGCATCCTTGCTAAATAAAAGCAATAATTAAAAAAAAAATTTTTTACAGACACCAAACTTTTTAAACTTTACATTTTCCTGATTCCTGATTCTGTTACTCTGTAGAAAAGACATGCCATAGGCTACATCAAATGTTTTAATTAATATTTGTTGAAATGATTATCACTCACAGATAATCTGATAACATTTTATGGTCAAATTTCCTTAATAAATGGCTAGACTTGGAGAGATCTTGTGGCATGGCTACTTCATAAGGCTTCATTTTTCATTTCCGCTGTTTTGAATATCTGACATTCAAAATTCAGGATGCATCCAGCAGGAATGCATTGTCAGTGCAGCACTGAAGAATGTCCTCAGGCTGTCCCATTAATCTCTATTAAGTGGAGACATGTCAGACAGGACTGTGTGTGTGTGGCAAGTCGGCAGATAGCTGTGTGTTCACCTGCATCAAGTGTTGACTTCACAGGATCTTCAGGGCATAAATGAATCCAGGTTCTTAGAGATGTCACCACAAAGTTGACATTCAGATGCACAGTATAAGTTGATATAACAAAAGATAATTGTGTATCTATGCTGTTTTCCATCTACAGTATATAAAAAATACTGTACATTTGACTATTGTCTAACAATATATGTTCATTCTATCTTGCAATATAGCTGAAGTCAAAAGCTTGGGGTTAGTAAGATTTTAATACTTCAATTCAGCAAGGGAGCATTAAATTGATTAAATGTGACAGTAAAGACTTTTGCATAAACAAAATATTTATATTTCAAATCAATTCTGTTCTTTTGAACCTTTTGTTCCTCAAATAATTTTTAAACATGTTTTGGAGTTTCCACAAAAATAGGAAGCAGCACAACTGTTTTCAACTTCGATAATAATACAAATATTTTTTAGCACCAAATCACCGTATTAGAATGATTTCTGAAGGATCATGAGACACTGAAGACATTGCATCACATTAATAAATTACACTTTAAAATGTATTTAAATATAAAACTGTTATTTTAAATTGTAATAACTATAATCGTTTGGCTTGATCTTCCCACTTTCTGTGTGTCCCTGTATTTTAATCCACCACGTTTGTGCTTGAGTTTCTTATCATATTCTCTAGCAGAAAGGAGGGAGGTGTCTCGCATAAAGCAAACAGATGGGACAACAACTTGACCTATTTCTTCATCTAGAAATCACACAACAGAAAGTAATACACAGACAGTGGTGAACAAAGCCATAAGACTAAGTATAGGCTCTAAGTATAGCTTGAACCAGTAAGATAAGAGTTTACCATCAGTTTACCAATACGATGATTGTGCACTCTGGTGATGCTGGGCTGTTTTTATTATCTATCTATCTATCCATCCATCCATCCATCCATCCATCCAAAATAGTCCTGCTGGTGTAACAAATCAAATTTTATAAATATTAATATTCCATGTAGTCTCGTACTTAATATTAACTTGTGAAAAATGGCATGTACGATTAAAAAAAAATCAGAAAATTATGTTTAAAATAGTATTAAGTACAGCATGTTATACTGCTGGGCACATATACATATGTGAACCTCCTTAATTACAGTATGCATGCACAAAAAACAATATGATGAATGTATCAGGCTATGTCCACCAGGATTATATTTATTATATACAGACCTACATACTAACAGAACACACTTCATCATGGTCGAGTTCAAGTAAGTTCTCATTGACACAAAGTACAGTACACAAAAACGTATCATTTACAATAATTTAAATGCAAGTATTATGTTGCAGAAGTATGTTGTTTTTCAATTTCTTGCTTGATAATTGTGTGACACATGGTAATCTCATGCTGACAGTAAGCAAAGGCACACAGAGTTGGTGCTTTTCAGCACCTCGGACAGAAACGTTGAAATTGGCCTAATTTAGCGTGTCTTCAGGCAGAGGTGACTTCCGGTGAGTAGCATCATCATTACTACGGTGTTGTGAAATTTGCTGCCTGTTTTAATTTCCATTGCAAAACAGATCTAGCTGAACTCTAAATGCCCGAGAGGCGCATATTTTAAGCTCAGTTAGAATTGAGGCTCAATAACTTAAGAAGAGAAAAGTGAACTTTAGAACTTTATTCACATACAGGGCTGTTATAGCTAGGTGGCAGTGTTTATTTCTTGCTGTCGATGGCCAAAAAACAATGTGAAATATGATTTGAGTTAATTGTAAGGTGTCAACTCTTTGCACAAGGGTGAATCTTTAAAACTAGCTGATGTGACACTCGACGCCGCTCCAGTTATGTTTACGTTCTGACTACTACATATTTTAAAAACGACTCTATTGGGCTCAGGTGGGCAGTTTATCTGACATATTACCTCAGAGGAGACAGTATTGAACGCGTTACGAGTGAACAGCTCCCTTGTCGGTCGTTTGTTTTTTGTGAAAATATCGCTCGGTGTGGAGAATGTGTTCTGCCTGTGTCGGGCGCGCTCACACACGCGCGCACGCATACATGCACAGCGCAGCCAGCGCGCGAAAGACCTGAAGCGCATCCGCCGAAGCAGCAGCATCGGACTCGCACGGATATCCTCACTCGGATTGCTTTTACATACCAGGGCTCGCCCTCCGCAACCTCACCTATGCGCTTTCCACATCGGGATCCAACTCCTCAACTGCTTGGAATATATTCTGCTGTTAAATTTACATTCGCTATAGCGGTTGACTCAAATCAGAGCGCGCGCACCTCTGCGTAACGCACAGGCGGTTGATTGTGATGTGCGCATTTTGGTGCTCTATTGGAGGTGAAAGGAAGGATTGGGTAGGATAGGATTTGTTAAGGACCTGTGCTGAACACTAACAGGGGAAGCAGCTCGGTTTATAACCCCTGCGACAGGACACCCTCTGGTTTTACGCATCATTTCTACTCTCGAGATCGAGTGCGCGTGAGCCTGTATACTATTGCATATCATGTCTTTTCTCGTTGACTGATCGCAGCATCCAAGAGGAACCTAAAGACTGCGATGCCAGGACAGTGAGAAGGTGGATCTCAGTTGTTCGGTAGCATGGCTCCGTCCCGGAGGGACTGCAGATGTGAAATGATCTTTCTGTCGGGATGCCTACTCCTGTCCGTCTGGGGATTTCAACCTGCATTGGCGAAGGTTTGCAACGATTACACAAGGCACGGCCTGGACAACAACTGGTACATGAGGGATGGTGAGAAGTTGCCAATCATGGTCCTGATGCCGATGAATGAATCAGCGCTGATGAGCAGCATCAGTCAAGGCATCGAGCCGGCCGTTCAACTGGCCATCCAGCACATCCGCGAGTCCAGGCAGTACTCCTTCTCACTCATCACCAAAATCTACGACACCGAGGTAAATGCTTATATTGATGTGTACGTGCATGTTGCGGGGGTAAACTGCGGGCAGTGTGCGTTCGGCGCGCGCTCATGTGTAAAACGCGATTTTTCTGGGGTTTGTGCAATGTCCAGCGATTGTTTTCTATCAGATGTCTGGAGGAGGCAAAACCGATCAAGTTTGTGAAGTGTACAGGTGTTGCATAGTCTTAATGAGCAGCGCACGTGCCCGTAGCTCGTGCATTAAGTACAGCATGTTTTCTTACATCGTGGATCAGTTACCATACAAATTCATACAAATTTTAAGGATCAGGAAAACCAAATGGAACGAACGTTTATGGATTAGTAAATGGATCGATTGAACCTTTTGTTACTTGTTGTCCTCCTTGATACTGTCAAATCGATGTAAATCCAACTTACAACAAAGATCTTTTAGTATGACAAGATAGTTTATAGTTCTGCGGCACTGATAACATATGTTGTCATTTTGGCTTAGTTAATGAGAACTCAGTAAATAAGTGACTAACTGACCCAATAAATAACTCTGGGCAAAAAGTAGGCCCACAGGTAATTATTTTAATAAAGAGTATATTAAATTTCATGCTCTTATTGGGTTTTTCGGTGACAGTACCAACTGAGGAAATATGAAAATTACTTCTTTGTGCTAAAGGCACTTTTTGGCCCCCACAATCTACTATTTATGGTGGTGTGATAACCTGGGGAGACGAGAAGTTAATCAATCAGTATTTATCACCATATTTTCATGTGTTACAACAGGGAAATTAAAAAGCGCGGGAAAACGGGTAGCTAGATGTTTGCGTAATTATCAAAGTGTAAATTACCAAGGCGTTAAAATATCTGTGGAAGCTATTTCACTAGATTTAAAACAGACTGTCGCTACATGCTCTGCATATGCTTTAAGCTGGATCATTTGTGATGAAGGTCCATGACATCTGATGTCCGGTGAAGCTTTAGCAATCTATTGTGAATTGATTGTCATATTGATTTACCAGCATTTTGTCAAACAAAACTGTTTCTTCTAACAAACACACATTGTTGCTTTGATTTGTACATGATGAATCCATGCATCTGAAAGGCTTTAAGTAATATCCTTTCACACTCTCCGCAACATTCGTAATGAGCTGAATATATCAGTAGTTGGCAGCTTATTTTTACAGCAGCAAGATGAACAGATTTCAGTTCAGACATCCGTTGATCTAACATGTAATTTAACAAGATCTAAGAAGTAATCATGCATGCATGCATTAGTGTATTTATGTAAATGAGAATAGGCCACTGGAACACTTGGTGTATATGCAAGGGTGAATGACAGACTTATCATTGGCGTTTGTACATAAAAAATTGTGTAACCCTTGTAAAGCCAGGTTATATAGAAAATCTAATTTTATAGATACAATTTTATAACTTAAGGCTTAAAGACCCACTCCGATGAAAATAATGTTTTTCTAGGTGTTAACATGTTCTTGTGGCATTTTTCTGATGTTAGAGGACATACCTTGAGAAAAATAAGCTCAAAGTTGTATTTCTGAGTATTTCTACATTCAAATGGCTGTGAATCAGTAGCAGACGCTAAAATGCCGGCTAAAATAGACTGGAGTTGTGACGTAGTAACTCCATTGGGCGTCTCCACACGCGACGTCTTGGAGTGAAATAATGATCGGTGATCGGTGATAACTTTGATTAACTTCGGATAATAATAATTAACGTGTATATAATACTGTTGCCCCACCGGTATTGGGGATGTAAGCTAGCGGGAGAGACAGAGCTCTCAGCAACGGGCAGGGGGAGGGTCGTCTCCGTGCCAACGGCTCCGCCCACAACGCAGAGGCGAATTGCTAATGAGCTACTGCCGCTCTGCTGAAGCGAAGTCCCAGAATACGGCACAGGTTTTGTGATTTTGGCTAAAAATGGCATAATCATAATTTAAAGACCACTGGCAATGTTTAAAAATAGCTCAAAATATGATCGGAGTGGGACTTTAAAGGTCTGACGTCCCTGATATATTCTGACATATCTGTTTTAGTTACATTACATGCTCAACCCCCCATTTCAACTATCTGTTTTTAGCTATTTTAGTGAGGACATGTCGAATAAATTTTTATCCAGAGGTCATAGTGTTTGCTAAATGTAGCCCTCACATAAAACTTTTGGTATCAAGAGAACTAAAGCGATTTGGCTGATTTATGAACCTTTTAATAGCGATGGCGACATGTTTCATTGTATTTGTGGCGTGCGTCAGTTTGAAACATTTGGCCATCACAAGTATAGCCAAACCTGTGGATACACACACACTGACATGATGACACTCGCAAACAGTAAACAAAGCAAACAGTAGTAGCAGTGCGTATGCATGCAAGGATTTAACAGGGCAGATGTAAGTAATCAGTCCCAGAGCAGAGGCTCTTTATCCCTTTATCCCCTCTCAACGCATCCCCAGGCAGGCAGAACCCATCCGCTCGCCTCCGCCTGGGTGCTGCTGGCCGTGCCTACAGCGCTTAGCCTTTCACAGATACACTTGAAAGATCTGGAGTGAAATTAAAAAGAGAAGCCCACGTAACATTTGCACTGCGATGGACCCCCTCAGTATCTTCAGTGGACTGGAGATCATTAGTTGTACTAAAGGTCACGGTTCGGTCTTGGATCATCCAGACAGCAGGAGGGATGCCCATCGTTTTTGTAGGGGTCTGCTTTCATCTGTGGTAAATGATATTGTTTGCCTTGAGTAGTTTTCATCCGCTAAAATAGTGAGCGAGCCACAAATAGAGATAGAAAAAAGCATTGATTTACTTTTATTGTGCAATTATCCTGAAAATGGCTCAACTCTTGTCTGTTGTAGTGGTTATTTACCTGCATAGTCATAAATCTTTCAGGTCTTTCTGCTTTTCATTTTTCTTCTTCTTTGTGGTATATAATTGATATAAATGTGGATTCAATACTTCACATTTAGAGAAATGAATTTGCTTCAGAATAAACCGCTATGTTGCTTATTGCTCAAATAGAGGTATGAGAGGCTCTGACGTGAACAATTGCCCCTCAAAGTGTTTAATCAAAAGAAAAGAGAATAAAAGATCCCAGACCTTCTGATGCTCTGTGACTATCCACTTGTTAAACGGTCATTCTGACTGATTCTATCATCATTTACTCATCCTCATCTCTTTCCAAACCCGTAAGACTTTAGTTCATTCATATTCAGGAACACAAATAAAGATATTTGAATAAAATCTAAGAGCTTTCTGTCCCTCAATTGACAGTTACGCAACTACCACTTTGACGCTTTAAAAAGCTCATAAAGAGATCCTAAAACTAATCCATATGAATTGATTAATTTAGTCAACATTTTCTGAAGAGACTCAATCGCTTTATATGATGAACATATTTAATTTAGGCTTTAATTCACATATAAACATTCATCAACGCACACATCAGTTCTGGTAAATGGAAACTCAAGCTTGGTTGACGTGTGAGAACCAATGAGGTTCATTCTCCTGTTACGCAGCACGTTTGAGCTACTGCAAGCAGGGCCGGCGATTGCTATAGGCGAACTAGGCGGTTGCCTAGGGCGACAAATGTGTTGGGGGCGCGGCGCGCGGGCGCCCTCTAATGTCGCCCTTGGCCTACTTCCCATTAATCACAGAATTAGAATGACAAGCTAAACGAAAACACGTTTATTAAACATGATCATCCTAAGGCGCCCCCTCAGCCACACGTTTATTGTCGATAATTTCCTAAAGGGGGGGTTACGTTACGTTACGTTAGGCAAGTGCTCAGCTGCTGGCGCGTTGATTGAAACCCTCTGATGCACAGGGACGAAAACGGAGAAAGCAACAAGATAAAAAGAAAGCCCAGTATAGAGGTAAGTCTTCTCATCTCAGCCATTTAGGTGTCAAACGAATTTTTTTTACTTAGTATTGTGCACAGCACAGGAATGCTGGCCATCGGGACTACCGGGAGCGAATTCTTTTCCCCCAGGATGGTAGAGATTCCACGTGCTTTTTGGGCCGATACATCATACTTTTTTTTGTCTTAGTGGCCCATAAAACTCGTACATCGGCCCATTCGTTTTGCTTTGTTTAATTGGCGGCGCTGGGTTACTTCCAAGTAACAAAATTAATTATGAAAGTTTCCATTATTTTTCAGTGCATTTGTTTTACAATAGCTTATGGCTATTACTGTCATGGGATTAATATTATAACTATTATTATGTAGTAGTGTAATGTAGACAGACTCTGTCTACATTACACTACTACATAATAATAGTTATAATAGACACTGTAACTAAAAGAGGTTTGAATTTTTCTTTGTTCAATTTGCACACTGAATAAGGGTTGGAGCTTTTAATTTTGAACTCTCAAAGTGCACCAGATTGATGAATTTAACATTAAAATGCACAAAATTTTCTTACGGGGGCATACCCCCGAAACCCCCTTAGCCTTGTAGCAGACTAATAGATTAGTAATAATAGTAGTGGTGGTAGTAATTGTAATATATTACAAGTTACATGGTCAGACAAAATGTATTTGTACAATGCAACTATGTAGGATGATAGAAATATCATTGAACGTTCTATGTAGCATTTGTATGAACAATTTATTATACAGTTGAAGTCAATTTGCTTGTTGAAGTTTTGGAGAGACTAAAACTTGGGGGGCGCAAAACTCAATCTCGCCTAGGGCAACCAAAGGGCTAGAGCCGGCCCTGACTGCAAGAACCAGTGAGGTTTGTTCTTACACATCAAGCAAGTATGGTTGAACTTCTGTTTACTGTATGTTTGCTGATCAATGTTTATATGTGAATAAAATTTCCAATCTAAAATTCAAATCCTAAATTCCATCTGTTCATCATTTAAAGTGATCAAGTCTCCAGAAAATATGGACTAAACCGCTCATTTCATATGGATTAGGCAAGGGCTTTCATGTGTGCTTGACAAGTGGGCTTGACTCTATTGAAGTCAATATACTCTTGACCTCTTTGAGCCCAGCTCATACTACCACCCTGGTG